AATGTACATAATTTAGACAGAATATATTGTTATTTGTTACCAAATCTTGTCTCGCTGACTCACCGCCACCGTCCTGATCCCTATTGCGACCCCACGATATCGAACATTTTGGTCCTTCGAGCCGGATACTCAACATCTGGCGCTGCGTGCATGGATTTTGAATCCACTGTTCGACGGTCGCAATAGAGTCAAGGATCGAACAAAAGAGTTAGAGACAAGATGAGTTTGGACGTGGAAAGCCTCCTTCGAAAGCAGCACGAAATTCAGGGCCGCCTTGCGCGTGCATCCGAGAATCTGAGGAAGGCAGGGGCGACTAAGATGACCGCAGGAATCGTGGAAGCGCGACTTTTGGCATTGGAAACAAACTGGAAGAAGTTCGACACGAACCACGAGACGCTGATGAGCGCTCATCGAAAAGCTCTGAGTGATCACGATTACCTCACCTCGGATTTCTACACGACGACGGAGGAAACGTTCCTAGTCCAGAAGGCGGCGTTCCTCGATCTGCTGGCCGGCCTCCGGCCCGCAGCAGAGCAACACGGGAGCGCGGCAACCAGGCCTGCGGCAGGCACGATGCGCAAATCGCTGCCGCGCATTGAGCTGCCGCAATTCTCCGGTGATTACGCCGAATGGCCAGCTTTTCGGGATCTGTTCCACTCCATGGTGGACAAGGACTCACTATTGGAAAACGTGGAAAGGTTCCATTACCTCAAGACTAGCTTGAAAGGAGAAGCAAGCCTGCTCCTCCGCAATTTGCCGACCACGGCCGAAAGCTACACTCGGGCGTGGGAGATTCTCACAGAGCACTACGCAAACAAGCGACTGCTGGTCCGCTCTTGCTTCGCTGCCTTCACTTCACTGCCGAAGATGAAGGGGGAATCAGCGAGCGAGTTGCGGAAAATATTCCATGGAATGCTGCATACCATGGGCTCCCTGGAATCAATCGGACGGCCAGTCACAAGCTGCAGTGACTTGTTCGTCCATCTCATCGTCGAACTTCTCGACACCCGCTCGCGGCGCGAATGGGAAATCGCGGTCAGCGGAACCACGAACCCGCCCTCGATTGACACTCTGAAGGGATTCCTGGAGTGTCGGGTACGCGCCCTGGAAGCTCTCCAACCGGAGAAGACGGGTCAGACCTCGCCTGCCAAAGGAGACTCACGTGGATCGGCACACTCGCACGCCGCATCTCGCCAGTCAAAGAGCCCTGATCATTGTTCATTCTGCCAGAAGGAGCACTTCCTTGCCTTCTGCGAGAAGTTTCGCAGTAAACCGCCCTCTGAAAAAAGGGACTTTGTCGTTCAGCACAAACTGTGCATGAATTGCTTCGGCAAACACGCCGTGGCTGATTGCTCGTCAAAGCGGAGTTGCGCCGCTTGTCAGAAGCGTCACCACAGCAGTATCCACGATGTGTGCGCTAAAACTGCCACGACGATCGCCGGGGCCCCTACTTCTCTCCACGCAGGACAGACCAAGGGCCAGTCGTCTGGAGTATTGCTCGCCACGGCACGAGTATTCGTGGATAACCGATACAATCAACGCATCATGACACGCGCATTGATTGACCCGGGATCGGAGGTTTCGCTCGTAACCGAGGCTTTGGTGCAGCGTCTCCGACTCCCACGCAAGCCAACATCTACGATCATTGTCGGAGTAGGCGGAAAACAGACAGGGATTGCTCGCGGGCGCGTGTCAATCACTTTGTCTTCACGATTCGCAGACTTCACGACGACGATTTCAGCCCTGGTTCTCCCGAGGATTACACGGTACGAGGCACGCGCAGACGCCTCGCGCTCCGATGGGAGCACTTGGAGGGCCTTCCACTCGCAGACCCGGATGGCCAAGCAGATGGAGCCATCGCCCTGCTTCTCGGCGCGGACGTCTACGCTTCCATCATCGACGAAGGAATTCGGAAGGGAGGTGCAGGAACTCCAATCGCACAAAAAACGTCGCTAGGGTGGCTAGTGTCAGGCGCAATTGCCTCCCCACAGGGCAATTCAGCCGAATCCTTGCAGTGCTCGGTCGACGAAGAATTGTCAAGCATGGTACGGAAATTTTGGGAGCAAGAGGAGACGGTGCACTCCCCTCTGCTTCTCACCGACGAAGAACAGGCGTGTGAGGACCACTACGTCCGCACGCACTCACGTCTGCCCGACGGGCGCTACATGGTGCGCCTCCCGTTCAAGAACGCACCGCCAAACCTGTCAGGGACACGACGCATTGCTATGCGCATGCTGCAAAGCATGGAGCGCAAGACGGACAACGATCCGGACTTGCATAAGCTATACTCTGAATTCATGCAAGAGTACGAAGACCTTGGACATATGGCTCGGGTGCTGCCTGCTGCCGACGAGCTCGACGAGACGCAGCGATGCTACCTGCCACACCACGGGGTACTCAAGAAGACGAACGACACCGTCAAGATACGTGTTGTGTTCAACGGATCGGCACGACTAGGCTCCGGTGACTCACTCAACTCGCACCTTCTCACCGGGCCAAATCTATTGCCGACACTAACTGACGTGCTGCTGAGATGGAGACGACATCGCTACGTAATAATAGCTGATATCCAAAAGATGTATCGCCAGATCTCACTGCATCCTAGCGACCGAACATATCAACGGATACTCTGGCGACTGAAAAACTCACCCGAGCTGCTAGAGATGCTACTTACGACAGTCACATACGGACTAGCGAGCTCGCCATTTCAAGCAATCCGAACGATGCGACAACTCGCCAAGGACGAGCGACATGCCTACCCTCGGGCAGCCTCCATTCTGGAGGAGGAGACATACGTCGACGACGTACTCTCCGGAGCGGACACCGAAGACGACGCAAGGGAACTCGTCCACGAACTAACCTCACTGTGCATGGCGGGCGGCTTTCCGCTACGAAAGTGGGCGGCGAACAAAGCCGTGATACTCAAGGACGTGCCAACAGAGCACAGGCAAGTGAAGGACTTTGACCTCTGGGATCAGAACGTCAGTCACGCCACGCTAGGCGTGCAATGGCACCCACAGGATGACACCTTCGGCTTCAAGGTCCGGCCGGTGGAAACCACAAGCATCACGAAGCGAACAGCCCTCTCACACACAGCTCGACTGTTCGATCCACTCGGCTGGTTGGCCCCAGCAATCATCCTAGCTAAAATGCTGATCCAGACTGCCTGGCTGCAACATCTCGATTGGGACGAGCCTCTCCCCCCTCGAGATCAACAGGATTGGCAACAACTTCTACGCGAACTGCCGATGGTCGAAGCAAAGCGGATCCCGAGATGGCTGCACACGGGCAGCTCCAGCTCTCGTCTGGAAATCCATGGCTTTGCAGACGCATCAGAGAGAGCGTATGCAGCGGTCATATACCTGAAGGCGAGCACTGACGGCGGGCGGAGCGTGGTCACTCTCCTCACCGCCAAGAGCAAGGTCGCGCCCGTCAAACGGGTCACCTTGCAACGCCTCGAGCTCAGCGCTGCAGCCATGCTGACTGGGCTAGCGGCGAGAGCGCAGGAAACACTAAAGCTCGTGGTGTCGCAAATCCATTTATACTCGGACTCCGAAGTGACGCTGGCGTGGATTCGGGGGCACCCCTCTCGCTGGACAACATACGTCGCCAACCGGGTGGCGGAGATACAGCAGCTGCTACCGGAGGCAATATGGCATCACGTGCCAAGCCGGGACAACCCCGCGGACTGCGCCTCACGTGGAATGCAGCCCAGTGAGCTGGTGGAGTTCGGACTGTAGTGGCAAGGGCCATCGTGGCTGAAGGAGAACTCATTACCCCCACTACGGACCTCGCCGCGCCTGGCAGAGGACGAGGTTCCCGAGAGGCGAGCACACGTCAACACGATGACCATAAAGCCACCCGAATCAGATGTGCTGCTTCGATTCTCAACGCTGCGACGCCTGCTACGCGTTTCAGCATGGTGCCGACGCTGGTTACGGGCGATCCAAGCCCGACAATTATCTGTTTCAGGCACATCACTGACTCCGCAGGAACTGGAAGGCGCCCTGGGGGCCTGGATACGAGAGGCCCAAGCAGCCTGGTTCTCGGAGGAAATCAAAACCCTCGATCGTGACAAGCAGATTCCGAGGCGGAGCGCATTGCAACGCCTCAGCCCATTTCTCGATCACGACCACGTCCTCAGAGTGGGAGGACGACTGAAGCACGCGATTTTGAGCGACGATGAGTGACATCCGGCCATCCTTCCTCGAGATTCGCGGCTCACAACGCTGATCATTCACGACCAGCATAGACGAACGCTCCATGGAGGCGTTCAGTTAACCCTCGCCTCTTTCCGACAAAGAATCTGGAATCCAGGAGGGAGAGCACGGGACGACTCCACCATGCCAGTAGCCCCTTGCCCGAATCACCGAGGTGCATCCAGGCGAGGACGGGCAAGTGCGAGTGGTGACAGCGCGAACGGCCACCACGACCCTCACCAGACCGGTGGCGAAAATCATCCCGCTTCCACAAACGGGCGACCAACACCAGACAACGTCGTCCTAGGACCAGACGAGGCAGGCGGTATGTTCGAGAAGTCGAACATGTGCCGCGCGCGCCTGACAAATGCGCGCCCGGCCAACACGCGCTTATCAGATTGCGCGGCTCGCCGCGGCGCGTCGCCGGCTCACGTACAATTACTCGCGTTTAAAGTACGTTCGGGTAGCAATTTAAGGCGAAGCCGCGCACAGACCAGCATCGAATCCTACCGCTATACTCGGCGATCTAGCCTTGAGGAAGTGTTGAGAGACTCGTACTTATATCTTTTGTCGCGTCGAGTGAGATTTTATCTCCTCCGCGCAGAAATTCTCGAGCGTCGAGAGACTTCTCCTCTGCTCATTGCACTCCTGTGGAGCCATCGTGGAGACAGTGGCCCCCTCCAAGTCGGACGCCCCTTCCGGGCCCAGCACAGTGGAAGCGGAGGCGCGGAGGGGCCCCACTCCGACCACAACCAGAAGGAAGAGGTGCCGAACCAGGACGCGGAGCCAGAGACGACGGAAGCGCCTCTCCTACCCACCGGTACCGCAGGAGCGGCACACGAAGGAGGCGGAGCCCGCTAAACCGGTGTCGCAGGAGCGGCACCAAGAGCCACCGGCCCTTGTGCAATCTCGTCTAGCCAACCAGCCAGTGCCGCAGGAGCGGCAGCCAACGAGACGAGAGCTAGACAAGGGACAGGCGATACGTCCGTGGAAGCTCATCCCGTTGGAGCTCCCGGAGGTGCGCCGCACCAGGCCTGCCGGAGTGACGCTCCCGAAACGGGATTGCCGCATCTCTCGACCACCGGCCCTCCACTTGATCCGCGTTAAGGAGACGCGAACCACAGCGTGTCAGACGGTGCTCAGGAGAGCTTTCCTGGCTCCTTCATCGCCAGCAGACCCACCGGATCAACCGACGGACAAGCCACCGCGCACCCCGGGCTCTAAAATCGACCTCAATAATAATTCGGTCCCCTCTGAGCCCCTTACGAAGAAGGCCATCCGCCAGATTAACTTTTAAATTGTGCATTAGCACCTATATTTTTTGATTAGGCGCCTACAAGGCGCCGCCTAAGACAACGCAAACATAATGTACATAATTTAGACAGAATATATTGTTATTTGTTACCAAATCTTGTTTCGCTGACTCACCGCCACCGTCCTGATCCCTATTGCGACCCCACGATATCGAACAAATTAGAAGAATAAGGTAGGGGGTGGTTAAAGCCGTAATTTAATTATAAAAAATTGGAAATTTTATGTAATATAATAAAAAGTATTCATGCACATTATGGACATAGTATTACGTTTGTCTTTTGTGTGTTATATATGTTAAAACTTACGGAGTTAAGAGGACCGAGAGTGAAAAATGGTGAGCGAAGAGAGGAGAGAGGAGAACGTAGAGAGTGAAGATCGGTGAAAGGATAGAGCAGGGAATGGATCGAGTGGAGGGCGAAGAGAAGAGAGCGGAGAGAGAAGGATAAGCGATGGATAAGAGAAAGAAGGGATAAAGAGAGGAGGTGAAGAGGAGAAGGAGTAGCAGGAGCAAAGGAAGAAAGGTAGTGGAGGAGAAGGAGAGGAAAACGAGGTGGAGAATTGTGGAGAAAGGAAGGAGGAGAGGGCGAAAGGAAAAAAAGATAGGGTAACGAATAGAAGGACAGGGAATGGAGGTGGGATGAAGAGAGGGAGGACTGGGAGAAAGAGTAAGGCCGGAAAGGGGGCGGAGAAGGATATAGAGAGGGGGAGAGGAAAGGAGAAGAGGCGTGGAAGGGAGGGAGGGAACGAGAGTGTAAGAGGTCGCATACGGCCAGGTCGCGAGGAGGAGTTGGTTCTATTCTTGTAAGAGGTTTGGGTACTTTCCTCACAAAAACGCCTTGACTAAACTCTGCGGGGATAAACAATAAACTCATACAATACATACAACTTACGGTGTTAAGTTGTGCTGGATCAGGACCACCTATAATAAATAATATAGTGACACAAATAAATTGAGTCATCGTATTGTCATTACATAACATTCTTCCTACTGTAACAGTCGCTAAAGATTGTGGGAAAACATCATATGTTTCACGTTCTCGTAGAACTTCCTGAAACATGTAAAACAAAGAATTAAAGTATTAGCTCATACTAGATAACAAACATTTTTAGCGCATTAAATAATAAAAATTATGATTGTCTAATCTTGTATTTTAAACACTACTACTTGCAGTAAAAAAATCACAAATTTCGACAGTTACCTTGAATGTTGGAAGAATGTTAGCAAATTCGTTAACTGCAGGTGATACTTTCATCCAAAAAGAAGTTGGAGCCAGACAAATAGCCATTTTTATTTTTATATTGTATTCTGGTTTTGATGACAGAAGAACGAGTAGCGCAGCACTTCCCATTGAATGACCGATATAGTATAAATCTTTTTGTTTTGTATAATTGAGAATGTAATCGAACATGGCCGGCAGATCTTTTGTTCCAATCTCGTAAAAGCTGAAAAATAAAAATTATGATAATAATATATTTCACAAAACATATTTTTTTGTTCTCCCCCTGCTTAACAGTTGTACGAAATCAATTTACAGTGAGAAAAAGAGTGAAAAATACTGTACAAACTTTAACGTTTACAAAACATCTTATATAAATATAATATCCTTCTTTCATTTTTTTTCATGTATGCTTTACGTCCTCATTGCAATATAATGCACTCTTTTAGAAATTTCTGACTTTATATTCATATCACTTGTGGTAAGTATATATCTATTTAGTACTATTCAGTACAAGTAACGACTACTTTATCATTTTGCTTCATAAATATCTCGTTTTTAAACAGGTCGTTTTTCGGTTTTATATGGACTTTTAAATTTAAGATCTGACGTTCTCTTAAAATAATTTTTATGACAATGTTTTACCTATATTGCCAGAATTTGGGATCGTATGTTGTCATATTCACATGCGATCTGCAGTAATTATTTCCTCTCATATTTCCAATCCATACGTCATATCCTTGATCTGCCAATAAAAATGCTGCAACATAAGATAATAATAAGCTAGTGCACTATTAGTAGAATATACATATAAACTCGACGAAATGCATATCGAAATATATTTATTCTAACATTTATAGTATATTGTGCACCAAGGGGCGAAAGTAGCATTTTTCAGACAAGTGTGAAGTTTAAGGCGAGGGCGGCAAATCACACGAGTCTGAAAAAGCTTTCGACCCGAGGTACACACGATATTTTTCACAACATCTCTTTATGGAAATGTTCGACTTTTGAATGCCTGTAGAGTGTATGCGTTTGATGTTTCATTCATACAGTTTATACGCGCGTGTAGTTAAATAAAACAAAAAAAAGAGAGTAATGTAGGGTCCAGAGACGAAGCCCTGGTGGCCGGGGCCCAGGAGTAAAGCCCTCGGTGGGATCCAGGGGCAAACCCCCTGGTGGGGTCCAACTTAATAAACTGCGCGCCGATTATTTGTCGGACTTGTAGCCCAGTAAAATGACAAAATCTTGAGGAAATAATACTGACTGGACTGAAACTTTGTAAACAGACTTGTTTTAGGGTACTATTCAACATATTAAAAGTCCCCACGTGTAGGCGCTACGTTGCGGGGAGGGGAGGGTTTAAAAGATTCCAAAAATCAGTTTTTTGCAAATAACTCGGAAAATATCGAATTTACAAAAATTTATGTAGATATAAAAATTGTAGCTTACAAAATTCCACACAATTTTGTTTTTTATTCAAGTCTGTGCGATCAAATGAAGCAGAGATAGAATTTTTTTAAACACCAGTAATTTTGCCTCGATTCGAGAGTCTATTTTCGAGATATTAGCGAAAAATGCGCGACGCGCGTACGGGTTTTTGTTGCGTCGCAAAACTACCGGTGTTTAAAAATTTTTATCTCTGCTCCATTTGGTCGTACAGACTTGAATAAAAAACGAAATTGTGCAGAATTTTGTAAGTTACAATTTTTATATCTACATAAATTTTCGTAAAGTTGATATTTTCCGAGTTATTTGCGAAAAACTGATTTTTGGGACCTTTTGGACCCTCCCCTCCCCGCAACGTAGCGTCTACACGTGGGGACTTTTAATATGTTGAATAGTACCCTAAAACAAGCCTGTTTACAAAGTTTCAGCCCAGTCAGTATTATTTCCTCGAGATCGACAAATTTCGAGTCATTTTACTGGGTTATTGAAACAGCTATCGTTGGAATATTAATACCCTTCCCTCCCCGAAATTAAATCTACATGATTTAATTATTTAAAAAACTGTAAAGAAATTATTGCGAAAAATATTAATGTTCCAACGATAGCTGTGTTTCAAGTCCGACAAATAATCGGCGCGCAGTTTATTAAGTTGGAATATATGGGGTATTCCATGCCAACTCAACCAATGATTGTCCCTGACCATTTTTGATTTGGCCGAATTTTTTTTGTTTTTGTACTGAATGTAAGTAGCTTCCATGATTTTTTTTAGATTTTTATCTCTACTCATACTCAAGTTATGGATTTAAAAAAAAGAATGCAGTTTAAAATTTGAAAAATTTCAAATGCCTGTAACTTTAAGAAGAAAAAAGATATTGTAAAAAATAAGGTGGTCTTTCTTTTCGTTTTTCACTGTACTTTTTGAAGAAAATATCGAAAAAATGTTTAATGGGCAATATGACTGTTTTTTTTTTAAGATTTAAGTAAAAAATGTTTGTTTTTCTCAGTGCAACCGTTTTGATTTTTTTCAAAAAAATCTCACAAATTCTAGATTTAATTTCGAAATTTTTAAGACGTATAAGAAAATGGGATTCCAATAACTTCGATTTTTTAAGGGACTTTTTCTTAATTTTTTTCCAAAAATAATTTTTTTTAAATAAGATAGACTCTACCGATGGCTCTCAAAAAATTTAATAAATTTATAGACAGCAATCCTGAAATTTCTATCTATAGGTAAAGAAAAAATTCAAATATTTTCTATTTTTTAATTGCATTTTTACTTATTTTTATTATTAAATTACTTTTTTAAATAGGATATTATAAATTGGGGAACTTTAACGGTTAGCATGTAACAATTAAATCATATAGTTAATGAAAAAAAAAACACGTATATTATATGTCAAAATAGCAATCAGATTTATTTGAAAATAAAATAAATAAATAAAAATCAAAATTGAAGATAAACATAAAATAAATGATAAATATATAAAAAAATTATGCTATATTATATAACGTTTATACTATTTATATATTTTTATTCTTTTAAATTATTTTATGTGATTTTACATCATTACATCAAAAGAATATTTTCACATTTAAATTTCCATTGTTATCAGGTATAACGCAATGAATTTTTTATGTGTCTGGTATAGGTTTAACACGACTTAAAAAATGAAGAATTATTAAAGCACTAAAAACTTTATTTTTCAAATTTTTAATCTGGGAACCTCTATTTAAATTTTGAAAAATGTTTTATGAGTAGAATGTATTACTTTTTTAATACCAGCACAAGGATTCTCTAACTCCTTAACGACAGTTTCGGTATCATTCCACAACTTTTTTACCATATATAATACTTATGCAATAATATTGATATATCATAAAAAATACCATAAAAAATTCATTGCATTATACTTAATAACAATGGAAATTTAAATGTAAAAATATTTTTTCGATGTAATGATGTAAAATCACGTATAATAATTTTAAAAAACAAAAATAAATAATATGGCATAATTTTTTGATATATTTGTTATTTATTTTATGTTTATCTTTAATTTTGATTTTTATTTATTTATTTTATTTTTAAATAAATCTGATTGCTATTTTCACAGATAATATACGTGTTTTTTTCATTAACTATATGATTTAATTGTTACATGCTAACCGTTAAAGTTCCCCAATTTATAATATTCTATTAAAAAAAGTAATTCAATAATAAGAATAAGTAAAAATGCAATTAAAAAATAGAAAATATTTGAATTTCCTCTTCACCTATAGATCGAAATTTCAGGATTGCTGTATATAAATTTATCACATTTTTTGACAGCCATTAGTAGAGTCTATCTTATTTTGAAAAAATTATTTTCGAAAAAAATGAAGAAAAAGTACCTTAAAAATTCGAAGTTATTGGAATCCCATTTTCTTATTATATACGTCTTAAAAATTTTTAAATTAGGTCTAAAATTTGTGAGATTAAAAAAAAAATCAAAACGGTCGCACTGAGAAAAACAAATATTTTTTACTTAAATCCTAAAAAAAAACAGTCATATTGCTCATTCAACATTTTTTTGATATTTTCTTCGAAAAGTACAGTGAAAAACGAAAAAAAAGACCACCTTATTTTTTACAATATCTTTTTTCTTCTTAAAGTTACAGGCATTTGAAATGTTCCAAATTTTAAACTGCATTCTTTTTTTTAAATCCATAACTTAAGTATGAATAGAGATAAAAATCTAAAAAAAATCATGAAGGCTACTTTCATTCAGTACAAAAACAAAAAAATTTTGGCCAAATCAAAAATGGTCGGGGACAATCATTGGTTGAGTTGGCATGGAATGTCCTATATGTATATACATTTTAATTTGTTACTTCTGTAATTATTAATTCTCTATTTGCGCACCACGTACCGCGCTTGACTCGTATCGCCGTCTATTAATTTTTAGAACATAATTAAAGAATATAATTATTACAAAGAATAAGCATTAATTAGTAAATTTAATATTTACACTACAATTTTGGAATTGAAAGATTGAATTATTTCCTCTATTTTGTATTTTAGATGTTGATTTGGATGTATCTTCAGTCATGATACAGCCAGCAAGCGACACAAGTCGACACAAACGTCGTTTTATCTTTCTTTTTTGGCAATGAGTAACAAAGACAAAACGACACTTGCGTCGACTTGTCACTTGCTGGAAAGCTCCCTATTAGCCCAGTAAAATGACTCGAAATTTGTCGATTTGGAGGAAATAATACTGAGTGGGCTAAAACTTTGTAAACAGGCTTGTTTTAGAGTACTATTTAACATATTAAAAGTCCCTATGTGTAGACGCTACGTTGCGGGCAGGGGAAGGTCCAAAAGGTCCAAAAAACCAGTTTTTTGCAAATAACTCGGAAAATATAAACTTTATAGAAATTTATGTAGATATAAAAATTGTAGCTTACAAAATTCCGCACAATTTCGTTTTTTATTCAAGTCTGTACGACCAAATAGAGCAGAAATAGAATTTTTTTAAATACCGGTAGTTTTGTCTCGATTCGAGAGTCCATTTTCGAGATATTAGCGAAAAATGCGCGGACGCGCGTACGCGTTTTCGTTGCGTCGCAAAACTACCGGTGTTTACAAAAATTCTATCTCTGCTCCATTTGGTCGTACAGACTTGAATAAAAAACGAAATTGTGCGGAATTTTGTAAGCTACAATTTTTATATCTACATAAATTTCCGTAAAGTTGATATTTTCCGAGTTATTTGTGAAAAACTGGTTTTTTGGACCTTTTGGACCCTCCCCTGCCCGCAACGTAGCGTCTACACATGGGGACTTTTAATATGTTAAATAGTACCCTAAAACAAGCCTGTTTACAAAGTTTCAGACCACTCAGTATTATTTTCTCCAAATTTTGTCATTTTACTGGGCTATATATGTATATGTTTTAAGATTTGCCCGTGTTCAGAATCTAGCATTTATTCGAATTGAGAGTAAGGACGAGCAGAGCTACCTGGGGTAAACAGAGCCATGAGCAGAGAGAAATCTATAGATAGATTTATTTGTTATCGACCTCCCGTAAGCGCGCTATCTATCGGGCAGCGTTTCTGTTGTTGTCGCGCTGCGAGGCATCTGTCCAATTTAACGCATGCGTCGTGTTTCTTTCTATATTCGTGCGCAACGCTGACGCGCAGGCGTTTCCTGATTTTACCGCGCAAACAACGACGATCTCATCGTCACTTCTTTTCGGACGCTCAACGAGTGAGCATGTTAGTTATTGCTTTGATATTGCGTAGATACGCTACTTTCTATAGTCGTAAAATCCGTAATATTTCGGCTTTTGAGGAAGCAGAGCTGTTATATACAGCTACATCATTATTTGGGAAAGACGAAACCTTGTCTCTGGACTTTCTGACTGCTGAAAAGGAAACGAGGGAATTCCGATAGTAAAAACGAGGGCGGCCATTAATCCCGAGATATATTTTTGGAAGGACGAGGATCCCTTGCGTCGTCTTTGTACTTGATAAGTATACTTCTGATGAGAGAATTCCAGTTATTTTATTCTGGAACAAGCCTAATTGTGGCTAATTGCAAGGTAACCTTATCATTTTATTTGGTAAAACCGTTCTTGGGTTGACATTATATTCAGGCTTTACAAAGCCTAATCCTTGGATATTGGTTACTGAGAATATCGTGAGATTTTCACGATTCCATCTTGTGGCGCGCATAATTAAATTAATACGATCGACAGGCCTTTTCTCGAGAGCTCAGTTCCTTCGTGAACTTTCCAGAAGACGAATAGTATAAAGCTATCCGTGCTTTTATCCGTATAACATATAGCGTGTTCGGCGCGTGACAACGAAATATCTGAAGCGTGAAACATCGCGTGATTTGAGCGTGATATACCGTGTTAAACTAGTACGACATTGCGTATCCTAAGCATAATACATAGTGCGTATTAAACGTAACTAAAGTCAATAGAGATATTATTATCGGATGATACAAATAGTAAATACTGTCGAAATTCTCAGTTCGAGAAACTATATTCCTTTATTAACCGTAATTAGTAATATTCTATTTCTTGCGTGTTTTTCTGTATATATTTTGGTAATAATTTGCGATATTAGTCTATATTCAACTTATACAAGTTTATCCAGGTCAATAATGATTGAAGTACCATACACTATTATAACATATCGAATTCTAAACATGATCTTTCCTTTCAGAAATTATATTCTTATTCGACGTTCTATGCTGAAACATTACTTGAACTTAGTAGTTTGATTGGTAAAAGAAAGATTAAATATCTGATAAAAAGTAACAAAGAAAACCTTCAATCATAAATGACAACAATTCAATATAATCCTTTGCTGCATTGTTCTTGTATGATTTACGTTCTTTGCATATGTTTATGACTGTTTATTATATTGTGCAATAATTTGATTTCGTTTAAATTACTTTGACATTGTCTAATTGAGATAAACATTAATTGCTGCATTCCTGCACAACCGAATGTAATACTTTGATTCTGTTATAAAATGATATAAACATTGTACTTTTATTTTATGAATACTGGTAAGGTTTTTGGCAGTTTTCCTTACCCGTGCAACGAATGTTGGTATTCGATGAGATTCTGCCAAATAAAGTATAATTGATTCATTAAGCAATTAAGGCATCGTTCTTTCCTTCCCTTCAAATAAAAGGTTCGATACTCAATTCCTATACAGCCCGTTACTTTACTTTCCGCCCGATAAAGTAACAACTTTCCTCCCTGGCGTGAAATTGGCCACTTTCGTACCTCTCTACAGGCATGGAAAGTCGAACTTTCCGTGGAGGTGTTGTGAAAAAATTAGTTTTCCTAACGCGAACGTGAAATGGGCCGCTTTTCGCGCTTGTTTTGAGTGAGCAAAACGATCCATTTCGCAATGATGACGTAAGCGTTAAAACATGGAGCCATTTCTCAATTAGTGGAGAAATAAAATTGTAAAACAAGCGTGAAAAGCGGCCTGTTTCACGCTCTTGTTAGAAAAAATAGTATGAACAACTCGTGGGAAGAGTGGTCGAGCCCAAATGAGTGTGATGGTCGCACGAGCGAAGCAAGTGCGACCAACTTCACACTCATTCAGAATCGACCACTTTTTCCACTAGTTGTATAATATACTATTTTCAAAAACATATGTATTTCGTAATTTTTAAAACTTTAATCTTTAATATTTGATTAAGCTTCAAATTTTATTTAATTCTACTTCAAATTGAAGACTAACTAATGGTCCATTATGTCTTTGTAATTTTCTTTGAAATGTAAGAAGAAAAAGCTCTTTATTTTTAGTAGCTTGAAAGATGATAAAATAATATTAAATATTGTTGCCTCGACATTTTTGTACATATAAAAAAAAGATTCAACTAAATTTTAAAATAACATATTTACAAAAAACATCAGCATTGGTAATTTTCAAAATTTTATAAGATTTGAAGGTAAAATATTTTTCACAACACCTCCACGGAAAGTTCGACTTTCCATGCCTGTAAAATGATCACTTTCCGCCCTAGGAAGGAAAGTGGTTACTTTCCGCCTGCTATGCCGTCCTGGTGTGAAATGGCCACTCTTGCCTTTCTCTAGCCATGGAAGTCAAACTTTCCGTAAAGATATTGTGAAAAATATTGTGTGCACCTCAGGACAAAAGCTTTTTCAGAAAAACGCTACTTTCGCCTCTTGGTGCAAAATATATATACTATTTCACAAAAACATTATACTCGTATAATGCAATTTTAACAATGCTTTGAATTGATTCGCACGTTACGTTAACAACTAAATATCATCAGTAAATACATGCCGAGGTCTTTGCCAGGACCGTACAGTACCCAGCAATCAGATGAAGCCAAAAGACCGTGTTGCACAAATACAATTTCCTTCTTTTTTTTGCTATCCAACAACAATGGACTTCCAGGTATCCTGTGTATTTTTAAATTGTAACCATCCTCCGTTGTGACGCTATGCTCTTCAGCGGGATAATCATATCGTTCTACCAGGCCAATCTGTTAAAGAATAGCATGATGTTTAACATCCACAAGGTTGTTTCATTTCTATTTCGATTTTGATGTATTCTAAATTCAAAAAATATTTACACAATATTATTTATTACAAAATACCTACATGTAAATGTAAATTCAGGACTTAAATTGAAAACAATTTTTACTCACAAAATCCAATACTTTTCCACTGTTTATTTTTTCGGCTGGATCCATTCTTCTTACTCTCATTAAACCAGAGTCCTTAGAAAAGAAAAAATTTAGGAAGTCGGTTTGTAGAAACGATGATATGGTCTGCAATCTTCCTTTGGAGAACGTCAGAATAATTAAAAATGCAACCAACATGAATTTTATACCTGATGTCATCATATCAACTTATTATTGTATAGTAGATTGTAAAAAAAGTTTTAACTGTTGGCAATGTCACTTAAAACACTTTTCGAGAGGCAACTTGTTCCTGCAATGCGACCTGCAATGAGAAACAAACGCGATGAGTGCAGAATCGACAATAATTTAAAAATTTTAACAGAGTTTCAATTTTCTATTAAAAAATTCCTACAAACAAACTTTGAAGAATAACGGATTTGAAGATAATAATCAAAATGCATATGCACAAACACATTTAATTAATGTTTAATGTGATTAAATAAATAAAATATGAGAGTTAAAGATTTAATATGAAGAATAGGGCAAGGAAAACCGTAACAGGATGTTTGGGTTAAATTATATTTTTAATAGACAAATATTATTCTAACAATATTATTCCATAGTAATATTTGTATATTAAAAATATAATTCAACACGCCGCAAACATCCTGTTTTTCCAGCTTTTTTGCCCTATTCTTCATACTGAATTTTAATCATCAGAGCCATCATATATATATATATATACAGGGTGTTCGATATAAAAGTAACCACCCGAATAGGGAAGGTAGATTGGGTCAAACTGAAAAGAAAAGTCTCGTACCATTTTGCAAAATTCGCAATAGTTAACGAGTTATTAAATAAAACGTCTGAGCGTATGAGCGCACAAGGAGCGATAGAGGCGG